CATTCCTCTCTCTCTCTGGAATCAATAAAAACATTTTTTTAAAATGTGACTGCTGAATACTGTAGTATATGGACACTTAAAAATGGTTGCCATGGTAAACTTTGCTATATATATATTTCACCACAATTTTTCAAAAAATGGAAAAAAAAAATGGAGTAGCACCATGGCCCATTTTGCCACAGGGAAAAGCAGGCCCTGCTTCCAAAAGCTTGGGTGGCTCCTTTCATGGGAGGAGCTCAAGGTCAGATGCTGCAATGCTAAAATAACAACAATAAAAATGGTATTTATTGCTGTTATTTCACTGGGGGGTGGGGCAAACTGATACCAAAATTTATATGGAAAAACTCAAGTCCATGACCAGCTAAGATAATTTTACAAAAATGGGCAGAGACGAAGAACCCAGCCTAGGAGAGAGTAAAACATATGCCAAAGCCAGAACAGTCCAAACAGTGGGGTTTTGTTACGTGAAGAATGGGCCAAGGGAACAGGAGAGAGAGAGCCCAGCACAGCCCCCTCTTGGGGAGCTGGGGTCAGACAGGGGGGTTTCCACAAACCAGCGGTGGAGGGTGGGCTCCGTGGAGTGGTGCTGGGGAAGCAGCTTGCTCTGGCCAGGAAAAAGTCCGCCTGGAACCCACCTCAGACCTGACACAGAAAGTAAACGCTGAAGGAATAATATGAAGGTCCAATTACAAAGCCACAGGAAGAAAATGTAGAATATTGGGGGTCTCAGGAAGGGAAAAGATTCCTTTAAAAATTCCTCAGTGTCTAACCACTATGTGGTACACCTGAAACCAATATATTGAATGACAACTGTAATTGAAAAAATACAAAACCTCAACCAATAAAACTTCAAATACAAAAAAAAAAAATTCCTCGCATGGCTCGCTTGGCTCAGTGATTAAAGCATTGGCTCTTGGACTGAAGGGTTGTTGGTTCGATTCCTGTCAAGGGCACGTACTTTGGTTGCAGGCTCAGTCCCAGTTGGGCACCTGGGGGAGGCAACCAATTGATGTGTCTCTCGCACATTGATATTTCTCTCTGTCTCTCCCACACCCTTCCACTCTCTCTCCCTTAAAAAAAAATTCTTCAAAGCACAAACTATATATGAAAATACAAGGTGATCTCATTTATATGTGGGATCTAAAAAAAACTGAACTGATAGATAAAGAGCAGGTTAGTAGCTGCCAGGGATGGGGGTGGGGATGGGTGAAAGGGGTCAAAAGGTAGCAACTTCCAGTTATAAGATAAATAAATCTCAGGATGGAATGTAGAGCATGGTGACTGTAGCTCATGCTACTGTATTGTATATTTGAAAGCTGCTGAGAGTAGATCTTAAACATTCTCATCACAAGAAAAAAACCTAACTCTCTAAGGTGACAGACATTAACAAAATCTACTGTGGTAATCATTTTGTAATATATGCCTACATCAAATCATTCACGTACACCTAAAACAACTGCAATGTTCTATGTCAAATACATCAGTAATAATAATGGAAAAAATTTAAAGACGATGGGTTTAACTATATCGGACATAAAGATTTCTATTTGATAAAAAACAAACAAACAACCTCCAAAAGACTCATAGTCACGTGAGAGAAGAATACAGCCAGGGAGGAGATACTCGAAATGCCAAACATGGGCAAGTGATCACCTTCCAGAACAAGTCATCAGCTTTTTCTGTAAAGGGACAGGCAGCAAACACTGGAGCTAGGTGGGCCATGGTCTCAGTGGAAAATGGTGCAAATTTTGTAAATGAATAGGCGTGGCTATGTTTTTATAATTTTGAATTTTACATAATTTTGCTCATGTCACAAAATGTTACGCTTCTTTTCATATTGTCCAACCATTTAAAAACGTAAAAACCATTCTTAGCTTGTGAGCCATAGAACAACAGCCCTGGCCAGTGTTCTCAGTGGTGAGA